GAGGGAGGGAGGGAGGGAGGGAGGGAGGGAGAGAGGGAGAGAGATGACTGACTTATGCCTGATACTAGAGAACATGTGTACTTAAGTTTCATTCCACTAACTCTATAAAGTCCTTTTTACATATGGGCCTCTGAAACAACATTATACACTTGTGCAACCTTTGCTATTTGCTCCTGTTGAGCCTAGTCCTATGCTGAACCCAGGAAATATAAAGATGAATGAGGGAAGAGTTCCAGCCCTTGAAAAATGCATGGTCACACAGGGAGGTAGGTATGAAAAATACCAAGGTAGTCTAGATCAATGTGAAGAAATAAGGAATGCCATCATTTAAAATATTACATGAATATAATTTAGAAATATAAATTTATTCACAGATAAGTGGCATTTACATTTGTCTGTGGGTGGAACTGCAGTCATTAATTTCTTGCTCGGTTTGAATGAGCCAGCAACGGACACACACTGTGGAGTACACTAGACCTTTGGCTAAGTGTTCTTGCCTGCCTAGTTACTGTTTTTAAAAGGTGTGTCCTGGAATAAAAAGCAAGCGATGAATGTACAGGAAAGACAGACTCATGGACTGGGCTGCATTTGTTTAGAAATCCAAAAGTACTGTACTTAACAGGTAACAGGAACTTTACCAGATCAAAGTACACTGGCTTCACAGCAAATGCTATTTTTTAAGCTCACCAGTTCCTTCTAAACACCACTCTTACTGTATCTAGAATAATTCTAGTGTGGACAGAGACCAGTCATTGTGCTCTTTGTTAAAACTGCAGCCCTTAAAATCAGAGAAGTGCTTAAAAACCCCAAATAATTTAAAAATACTTCAATTCTTTACTTATATTTCTCAGATTCCTGTGAGAGGAATCGAAATTTCTAAAAATACATACAATTTTTGGCTTTCATCTACTCCTCTCATATGTCCAACTTTCCAAAGGCTTCTTACAAATTGTCTTAAAAACTTCCTGAACATAACCTGCACATATATTAATCCTTTCTTCCTGCTTCCAATAGTGATGCAAAACAAGCTTCAGAGAAATGAGCTGGCAAAAGCAGGACCTCTGTGGGACAGGGTCAAGGAAACACAATCAACAACCCTGGCAGGCTGAGGAGCAAGGGCAGGGCTGGGGGCGCTGAACCTCGGCACTGTGGTCCGTCCCCAGCTGTGGGGCCCAGGAGCACAGACACCAGGGATCTGCTCTGCAGTGCGGCTCCCGCAGTGACCACTGGGCCTGGCACAGCTCTGGTGCTTGAGCAGCGGTTGCAGAGGCCTGAAGGTCCGTGGGGAGACCGGGACAGCAGGTGCTCGGAACGGGGCAGCTGCTATTCCTGCTACTGGCCCAGTCCCATCAGCTGAGGAACAGGGGACAGTTTCAGTCGCAACTGTGTGGTGAGAACAGATCTTCAGTTTTCACCCCACAGATTTTTTTTTCTGGTACCGGGGATTGAATTCAGGACCTTGTGCTTGCGAGGCAGGTGTGGTGCCACTGAGCTACATCCCCAGCCCCAGCCCCAGCCCCAGCCCCAGCCCCAGCGCACAGATATTTTTGGTGTGTACTATGCACCAGCAGAATTAGGGATTTAAACACCCTGAAGGAGCATACAGCTCACTGAGAGAGAAAACTGTGTGCCAACGATTTCAACACTCTTCTTTTGTCAAATATTTATCCAGTCCCACCTCTGTAGTTACCGAGGCTAGCAGAGAACAGAACATGAAAATCAGTGTTTGCATGGCGGTGGCAGTCCAGTAAACACATGCAGCTCTATAGCTGGCGACATTCCCTGAACACCCACAACGTGCAGACTGCTTCAAGGGCCGTGCTGTCTTAGCACATTTAACCCTCACAGCAAACACATGAGGCAGGTACTGTTCTCATCCTCATTGACAGATGAGAAAACAGAAGCGCAAGGTCAGATGGAAGACCCACCATAATCAAGTACAAACAAAAATCTAGCCTAACAAAAGGGATGCAGGGCCGGGGATTTAGCTCAGTGGTGCTGCAGCCTGCTTGGAAAGCAAAGGTCCTGAGCTCGATCCCCCCAGTACCAAAACAAAATACAGAAAAACCAAAACCAAACAAACAAACAAAAGGGATAGAGTGGTTAGCTGAAAATTCGTCTCAAAGAGCCCAAGGCTGAGACGCTTAACAGGAACAGTCTAAACATCTCCATGTTGAAAGTGTGTTTGGACACTCAAGTGTACTGTCAGATATGGTCCATGACCTGTTATCCCAGCCTGTTAAAAGTATGATAAAACTCAGGCTCTCAGAAAATACACTCGTTGGTCAATTAAAATTGTCTTTTTTTTTTCCAGTGCTGGGAATCAAGCCCAGGGTCATGGAGTGCTCTACCACAGGGCCACAGTGCCCAGGCCCAGAGTCAGTAATACACACATAAATCACAGCACTTAGGTATTAGGTATTATGAGCGTGACCTTCTTGATCTGTCACTTGAGTTTTTGTGGCCACAAATGGATTGCTTTATGTATTATCTCAAGTCTCAGGCACCTGTATCTGGCAGGCACGTGAAGGTTACAGGGCTGTCGCCTGTACCCTCTCACCCTCCTGACGCACGTGGTCAGCTCTGCACTCAGGGTGGCTGGCAGGGCGGAGGGCGTCGCTCAGTAGTAGAGTGCCTTGGTTATTATGGACAAGGCCCTACGTTTGACCCACAGTGCCACAAAAAAATACAAGAAGAAACTTAGGACAGCTGGTGTTTGGGCTTCTCATGTGTGCCCACCCCCATCCTCACCCTGCATGTGTCTGTTCTCCACAATGTGCCTACTCAGAGGACCTTTTCCATGTTTATGACAGATTATTAACACTTCCATACCTTTCCAGGATTCAGCTGTACCTTGAAAAGGACCAGCTGCTTGCAACAGAAATGAGACTTTTTAAAAATGGCTTTAAGAATTGGAATTTGAACATTTTTGTTAATTTTTTGTTGCATTTGTAGTCTCAGATTACCACATATTAAAATTCATTTCTGCCAGGGATTTAGCTCAGTGGTTCCAGTTCCTGCCTTGCAAGCACAAGGTCCCAAGTTCGATCCCTGGTACCAAAAACAAACAAAAAAACCAAACCAAAACAAAAAAAATATTCATTTCTATAATGTGAAAATTAAGAGAAAAACCATTAAGACTTTATCTTTAAAAGGTTAATTTACACAACAGAGGTAGAAAATGACAAATTTTAGCTTAGTTCCAATATATCCAATTAAAATGGAATCTATCCATTTCTGGTTTCTTTTGGTTAAACACTATACTAACCCTTTCACACAAAAAAGGTGAACACTCCAGAAGGTAGAGTATAAGTGAGAAGTCCGAGTCTGTCTTCCAGGTACCTGTACAGCTAGTCATTGAGAATTTTAGTGAAGGAATTACTACTGTTTAGGGACTTCCTAACCTTGGAAGCATCATTTAAATACAAACAATTCAAGAAACAAACTAGAGGACAACTTGACCTCCCTCTAAGGATCCTTCAGATCTCTGCGTGACACTCATCTAGCCCTAGTTTGGGAACACACGCTGGCAATATTTTTCAACATTTTATCTCACTCATACATGCCTCACCTTCATCCACAAGGATCTGAGGCGGCTTTTACAACCAGAACTCAGTCACTAAAGGGAGGATAAACCAGAAAGACTCAGGGTCAGGCAAACACAAATACTCAGAAATATAAAATCAAGGCTGAGGGAAATATGAACGAAGTAAATAGCTCTGAGGGGTCAAAGAGCTGTAATCACTCTGTCCATGTCCACAAGTTTGAAATCTTGGATGTTCGGAACAATGTCTGTATTCTATACGTTATAGATATATTTGCTTTACTACTATAAACACACATACATCTACTATGGACTACAAGAAGTCTTTTTAAGATCTACTTGGCTGGTAGGAATTCAGGGAAAGGTATGCTCTCACACAATGCAGATTACAGCAAAATTTGGCATGTATTTCCTGGAGGGCATTTTGCAATGTGGAGCAAATACTCTTTAAAATGCACCTACCCTTTGACCTACAGCTCCCTTCTGGGGATTTAGATTTTGGTGAACATCATGGATTCGGGCAAAGCTTTACCTGCAGTGAAGCCCTGGCACCAATCTATATCCAAGAAGAGGGGCTGGATCAATAACTTAACGACGAAGAATGGAGTACTGTGGAGTCATCAAGATGATGAAGTCCTGACTGTGGACTGACACTGAAATATGAACTGAAAATACTGGAAAGATGATGGTGAGTCAGTGTTATCTCTGGGCTGTGGGTTTCTGGGTGGCTTATTTTTGTTATAAATTTTCATAGAAATTTTGGAAATGTTCAAGTATGATAAAAATAGTTTTTAAAAGCCTCCAAGACTAAACACTTATACATATAGACACACAAAAAATATAAAATACATAAATGACTGTGGAAGATGCAGAAAAGTTTAATTCTGGAGACTTGTTCTCAAGCATATACAATTACAATGTAACTGAAAAGGCTCAAAAATACTTCCTTTAGAAAGTACTAGTCCTGAAATCTTTTTTGGGGGTGGGGGGGGTACCGGAGATCGAACTCGGGACCTTGCACTTGGCAAGGCAGGTGACGGAACCACTGAGCCAAATCCCCCACCCCTGAAATCTTGATAGAATTGTAGCTCAATTATTATGAAATTATTTTTAAAAACAAGTCTATTGTGCCAGTAATAGTAAAGTAGGTGCATTTCCAAGAAAAGTCACATAAAAAGGGAAAGGTACTTTTATTCTTACTCAACTAGGAAGAAAATTTGGTTAACCCTAATTCTGCATGCCGCCCCACCACCCCGTTTGTTTCAGTAGGGCTCATCCATGCTCTAAACATGCCTTCCACAGTGCAGTCCTTTGATGCATTCAACTACAATGATTGTAGAGTACGGCCTCTCTGAGATCCATATTTCCTGCCTAGGTCCTGGTTCTGTCTCTGACAATAACTGTCCCCTCCAGGGCTCCTGCTGATGTTGCAGGCATCCTGCAGAGAAACAGATCATTGATAGGTCTAGAGTTTTGTTTTTTGGTTGTTTTTTTTTAGCAGTACTGGGTATTGAACCCAGGGCCTGTGTGCTGGGCTACATCCCCAGCCTTTTATTTTGTAGACAGAATCTTGCTAAGTTGCCCAGGCTGGGCTTGAATTTATGACCCTCCTGACCCCCAGCACCCTAAATAGTTTGGTTTTGAATTTTTTTTTTTTTTGGTACTGGGGATCGAACTTGGGACCTTGAGTTTGCAAGGCAGGCGGCGAAACCACTGAGCTAAATCCCCAGCCCAGTTTGGTTTTGAATTAAAAATGTTTATTTTCACATACCCATCAGAATGGCAAAAACTAAAAGAACTGACAATATCAACTGCTGACAAGGATGTAGAACACCAGATCTTTCATATACTCCTGGTGGGAATGTCAACTGGTGCTACTGTTTTGGAAAACTGCCTGGTACTTGCTACTAAAGCTAAATATTCAAATCCTCTACACTTTGCAAATCCACTCCTGTGTATACACAAGCCGAGGGGCAAAGTCCATAAGACATGTACTAGAATGTATGTCTTAATATCCTGAAGCAGTCTGGTAACATCTGCAATCTAAATGCCCATCAAGAGAAGAGCGAATTGTGATGTATTCACAAAGAATATCATTTAGCAACAAGAGTGAACTAACTACAATTACTGCAATGACATGGATGAATCCGACAAGGATCCTGGGTAAAAGAAGATACACAAGGCTGAGGCAGGAGGATTGCCATGTGTTTGAGGCCAGCCTGGGCTACATAGTGAGTTCAGGGCCAGCCTGAACTATAAGGCGAGACCCTGTCTCAAAAAAACAAGCAGAACAAACAAACAAACAAAAAAAGATACACAAACTGGCGCATGTCAGTAATCCTAGCTACTAAGGAGGCTGAGACAGGAGGATAGAAAGTTTGTGGCCAGCCTGGGCAACTAACTTAGGAAGACCTCTCAAAATTTTAAAAAGGGACAGGTATGTAGTTCAGTGGTAGAGTGTTTGCCTACCATGTGTAGGGCCCTGGGTTCAATCCATCTTACCACAAAGGAACAAGAGAGACATAATAAATGCCAGCACAGGTTAGAAGAGCAGCTACTTCAGGGGTGTAGGGTGTAGAAGACAGCACGAGTGGAGGTTGTCACGCTCTGCTTCTCGATTTGGGTACTGGTTACACAAGTGTGTTCAGCTTGTGACAACTGAGTGAGCTATATACATGGTTCGATAAAAATTTTTTTAAAAAAATAAAAATATATTTGTATGTGTCATTAGGCAACTTAAACTAATGTGACTATAGCTTTTAATAATAATTTTTACCTGCAGAATAAATTGCTGTGTGGAATGTTGAAAACAATCAAAGTCGTTGCAATTCTATAAACATTAGGCTTTTCTTGCAGTGTGAGGCAAAAATTATTGCTGAATACTGAAATAATGTCACAAATGCAAAGCTGCCTCAAACTACGTGAAACCTGTGGAAGGTATAATCTGTCCACTGTCCCCACACACTCAGATTTCACAACAAAGGGTGCTTCAGGCAATGTTATCAGAGGCCTAAAATCTTTTTTCCCATTAAGATAAGGGATGCTTTTGATAGGAAAAAAAAAATCTATTGTTTGCTTTGTATTTTCATCTCATCTGACCTGAAGTACTGGGATGTTCAGATTAATATTCAATAACTGGCAACCTTTCTGCTGTTCCCCGGTCCCCTTTTTTAGTCCTCATGAAGGAAAAAGCAAGTTATCTAGACTTTTGCAAATCCCATTTTATCTTCAGCACATCTGAGGAAAACAGGGTTAGGGTAAAGGATTAAGATATCCAATACTGCAACAAGCTATAGCAATAAGTATACCTCAGAGAGGGTGTTCCCGCCTTGAGTGCTGGAGATCAAACTCCGGGCCTCACACATGCTGAGCAAGTGCCCTACTACTGATCTACATCCCCAGCTCTAGTTTTTCAAATTTGCACACAGGGTCTAAGTTGCCTAGGCTGGCCTTGAACTTGTGATCCTCCTGCCTCAGCCTCCCAAGAAACTGGGGATATGGGCATGAGGCACACACCTGGAACAAACAGGGTTCTTATGCCATTTTAAGGCTTAACCCTAGATTTGTATAATGCCCAAACTGGAAACCAATTAGGCAGTCTCTTTCACTTAATATATCCCCATTAAACTCAAACTGAAAAAATGTAAACAAAGAAAACACATCCTTAGACTGCTTACTTTACTCAATAGAAACATTAAAAGGTTATTGAAAGGTTTGTTCAAAGCATGTCCACGAAGAATTACCGGAACAATAGAAAATTTCAGTGACACCTTAGATGACCAAATGATGAACCTGCATTTGGTTTATGCTGTTGGTCACTAGAAACTAAATTACTGTTCAGAGACCTATGTGATAAGTACCATGTGGAGGCTGGTCACTGAATTCTAGGCCTCAATTTCTCAATCTAAAAATGGTAAATAAGCACACAGAATCCACATCCATCTTGAGGGCAGATATATTCTTAGGACAAAACACTCTATGAGAGGTATCAAGCCAGAGTGGTAGGGCACACCTATAATCAATCTTAGCACTTGGGAGGCTGAGGCAGGAAGACTGCAAGTTCCAGGCCAGCCTAGATTACACAGTAAGGGAACAGAAGCCTCACCTAGGATAGGAGCTTAATCAATTAGCCAAATGTGCATTCATTCAACAAATATGCATATGCATACCTACTCAGTGCCAGCAACTGTTCTAGGTGCCTGGAATACAGGGAAGTCCCTTGCCCAGTGGAGTTCACATTCCAGGTAGGGAGGAAAAAGAGATGAACAAATATAATAAATGAATATATCCTGTAGTATATTCTAAGGCAGGACATTTTATGGGCAAAAGGTAAGGTAGCCTAAGGTGGGGCTGGGAGATAGACAAAGTCTGGGAGTTTTAAAGACTTGGGTGAGCAGGGCTTCTTGAGAGGCGACCTTCCAAGTCCACCGTGTTGTTTTTTCCCTTCACTCACTGCTCAGCAAGACGCCTGTAGGTAGGACATCTTTGGATGACACCAAACTCATCCTCCTTCAGTTTCCTAAGACTTCAACAGTTCTAACTCCTAGGAAAGCTGCGGCTACTCTTAAGTATGGGTTTTTCTGAACTTCTTCCTCTCCCACAAAGGCATGGACTCATCAAAAAACCATGCTAAATCACAAGCAGGCTTTTGAGGGCAAATTAGGGGGATACTATAAAGTGCGGGAAGGGGGAGGGATCTTCGACGGAACTTTTTTTTTCTTCAGGTTCCATCTTTTTAATCAGCTCTGAAGGACATCCTAAACACTACATGAGACACAAAAGAATATTCTTTCTTCCAGTATTAAAAAAAATGACATTCACAAACATTTTCAAGAAGCTCTTATCATGATGGTGGATCTTGAATAAAAAACAGCTCTAGGCAATCATATTTTTGATGCAGATTGCTTACAGGTACATTCAAAAATTTTCTAGTCATGATAAAAATTTTGTACAAGTTTTAAAAATGACCCTAGATACATGTTAAAAAAAAAAAATCAGTCTGGTCAAATTTTTTTTTTTTGCCAGAAGCAAGAATCCTGAGAGTCCAAACTAAAAACTTTATAAAGAAAAAAAAAATCCCCATACTCTACAAATGTCCCAGAAATTTGTCTTTAAATGGGGGGAAAATTTAACATGTGGAGCTTTCTAAAAGGTCTTTAACAAGGTACCTTGGGGGCTCAATTCAAAAATAGGTAATATATTAAAGCAGCGCAGCTCCAAAAATCTTTATACAGCAATTTGGAAGGACGATCCTGGACCGGAAGTGTTATTCCTTGTGTATGTCATGTGTACATGCTCCTCGGCTGTCATAATTGTCTCTGTAATTCCCTCCTGAGTAGCAGTCTGGCTATTCAGACTTCTGGCTTCTGCCACTGTAGTCTCCGGATCGCCCATATCCATATCCATATGCTCCAGGTCGACTGTCATACCTGCCATTCCCATAGCCCTGGTCCCCACCACCTCTAGAGTACCTGCCACCATGACCATGGGCCCCAAAGGCACCCCCTCTTCTAGTGCCCCCGGCAGCTTTGCCTGCATGGTCCACACGGATCCGGCGACCATCCAGGGACTCTCCATTCATGGCTCTCATGGCATCTGAGGCATGCTCTGGATTGGTGAAGGTGATGAAGGCAAAACCCCGGGATTGTTGAGTTTCCCGGTCCTTGACAGCAACCACCTCAGAAACAGGCCCGCAGCTGCTGGAGTGCTCTTCCACAGGCTGAACTCTAATTAGCAACAGCAGCATTACTTGATTTATTCTGGGGCTTATTATCATGTCATTTGTTTGTAAAGTAGAAAAACACATCCTTCTGTGAGTTAGCAGGGATCACCAATGATCATTTGCCTAAGTACATACTTTAGAAAACTCGGCAAATGTGTAAATATATATTTAAGGGTATTTGATACTGCATATAGAGAATCTCACTACTTTATAAATCTCCCTTTTCTCTAAAGATTTTATTCCTTTAGTTCAAAGAAATTTGAGTATTAAAAAACCTAAAACCCATATTAACAAGTCATAAAATCTTATTTGCAGGTGGCTTTTGTAATCACACACCTGTTTAGGTTGTGTTTCAATAAGTAAAACATTGCAGACTGCTAGGTAACATAAAGGAAACCAGATTCACCAACATTGCCAGTGGAATTTGCCATACTAAATTGTTTTCAGCCTCTGTCAGTGCAGGTGGGGATGGCGGAGGAAAAGTCCAAGGCTTTTCAGGCCTCCAATCAGAGGTGTGAACGTAAAATTTCACTGTACATTTTCCTCACAAACCATGGGCTAGCTGTCTTCATTTCATTTTATACATTATATAAACTTGTTAACAGGTACTGTAAATTCTTATCCCACCACCTCAACATGAAAAACCTGATCCCAAAACATTAACAAGGAAAGGATGATTGTATCAGTCAATCAATCATTCAACATTTAGTGAGCTTTTGGTATGCTTTCAGACACCTTCGAATGCAAAGCTGTTAAGTACTGGCCTCTGATCTTCTGTGTGTTAAAAGTTTGCAAAAACTGAAATGATTTATACTGCTTTATGTCTACAAATATGGACAACCAAACTGATGAAATCTACATTTTTCCCTCCTGCCCCAGTCTGTGGGTAATATGACATGTCAAAGTGGGTGACATTTGTGGCACCTTAATTTGTCTGAGTACAGCCCCTCGGAGGTCCTCAGTCAGAAGTGGAGGAAGAGCAGTCTCCTCTGTGCATCTAACTGCTGTCTCAAATTGATATTCTCACTTTACACTGGCAAGGAAAATCAGTCCATATTGGAGAAACTTGGGCTCATGTTTTTGTGCCCTAGTGGATATTTACACTCCACATATAATGTCCAGTGATCTGCATTCCTCAATTACACAGTTTTTCCTCAACTATCATCAGAGTAACTATTACTCCCCAAGCCTATGCGTAAGAGTTTTATTTACACATTTTGTCAGCATCTTATACTTCCTGTCCCACCACCTTCAGTACCATTTAAATATCAACGATTTCAATAAAAACCTTAGGCTTTAAACATTCAAGTTCACGGCACTTCTAAAAGTTGCTCTCTATTAAGAAAACACTAATAATTTGTTTGTTTGTTTGAATATAATAGCAGGAAGAATTATAGAAATCTACCATTTTACCTGAAATGGGCAAGCCTATGTATTATGAATATTTTTTCCCTTAAATTCTTTCATTGGTACATTTCAGGTATACAGTACATTTACATTTATCACTGGGTGCTTCTACCTGTACATGATGCATCTTGGTTCTTATTTTTTCCCCATTACCTGCGTGCCCTTCACTCCCTCCACCCTTCCCTATTTACATAGACTTTGCTTCCATTTTTTCCTTTTCTCATCATTTTTCCTTTCCCTTCTTTCCTTTCCCCTTCCCCTCCCACTTCCCCTACCCCTTTGGACCTTTGCTTCCTATTTCAAATTATCAATTATTTGTTTTAATCATTTTAATCCTTATTTACACTTTCAGTTTGTGTTATGAATATTTTCCAGCTTCCCTTTGGAATATACCAAGAAATGCTCTTGGAGTTAGTTAATCTTTGCTTTTCTGTTGTTGTAAATTTAGATTCTGGAATTGGGTTTGGTGGTGTGAAGCGTTGTTCACGAGAGGCCAGAACTCTTCTTCCTACAGGATTTTGAGATGGAGGAACACATATTAAATCTCCCCTTTATGCCTTGGTCCTAGTTCCTCTTTCCACGTTGAGTAACAAGGTTTTTCGTTGTTTTGTTTTAGTCAGTGCTCTGAAGCTTAATCGTAATACCCTTTAATCTCAGTTGTCACACTTTGATAAAACATGTGCCATTTTCTTTGGTAAGAGAAAGCAGATCTTAATGTCTGCCAGAATACAACTGATATGCCTTACTGGCGCCATTAAACTTTTTGGAAAACTTTAGCATTTGGTACGTTTTTCCATTGCATTGACTCTCAGATGCTACTTGTCACCTACCCCTAACCTCCTCCCCCTCCTCTGACCCACTGCTCTCTCCTGTGTCCCCAGAGACAAAGGGAAGTGATTTCTCATCTTAGGAAAATGTAGTTTTCAACTTAGTTGAGCATCTTTTGGAAACTTTTCTGTGTGCCAGTTTGGATGTGAAACGAATCATAGAATATCTCTTACCTATATGGTACTTAAACAATTACATTTTTCAGTCTCTTGAGGACAGTGTAGGCTGAACTTAAAAACCTAGCAATTTAGTTCAGGGGAGCAGAACCTTTTAGACTTAAGATGGAGTCTGATTCTTTCAGACGGCTCATCAGCTCTGTTCCTGTTGCCCCTGCCTTGGTACAAGCAGGTTGAATTCATCCGTACACTGTTCTGAGCATGGCTGAAATATTAAAAACTCTATTATAATGTTTAGTATTTTACAGAGCAAAATTAATGGGGACAGTATTTGGCTAAATCTAAAGATACAAAGTCAAATTCTTCAATGTGGCTTACCCAACTGAAGTAGTGATACACACCTTAAATCATAAAATGAATTAATCATTAAAAAGAAAAAAGAAAACACTAATAAGAATGGTTTTGGTCACAGTTGCTGATCCCAAAAATGCCATGCCAACAAAGTCTACTCGTCTATCTATAAAAAAATAATTCACATGTTACAGTATATACCTTAAGTATGCAGATGAGAGAAATCTATAATCTTTTGGACTTCAATGGATAGACTGAAAATATTTTCATGGCGTTTTTAAATTCATACCCTGCAAAAGTCAATAAACTTCTCTGATTTCAGGAACTCGCTCAGACCCTGCAAATCTAGAAATTCAATTTCAAGGTTAAAAAAATTTATGAAAATGACGAATTATGCACCTGAACCATAGCTACAAATGAATTTAGAGAACTTTAAAGTCTCGGGGGTTCAATGTGTCTAAGCGGAATTAAAACAAAGTTGTTTTGTATTCTATTAATAGCAGATGATTAAACACATATCTTATTTCAACTGGAATTCATTTATAAGTACTTAAACTTACTAAACTGGCCACTAATCCTATGTCTGTTCTGGAAAAATTCTCACGTACCACGCAGCGTCGTACGAGACTGGCCATCAAGAGTTCCATAAGATTAGGTCAATTTTAGTAAAATCTCAGCGTTCTTTGCAGTAACCTCGCAAAATCACTGATGTATAAAAAACCAAGTTCAACTTAAAGCTGCTTTCATAAAGGTCCAAGGGGAGGGGAGGTTTCAAAGACTTCCTGGGAACGGACTGCCCTCAGCCTAGAAAATTCCCTGTGCCAAGGGCGCCAGCGAGGAGCTTGGCTCACCTGGATTTTCCTAATTACAGACAAGTTTCTCCCCTACATTCTCATTCTCGGGCGCTTTTCTCAGTGGAAACTCGAGCTCCTCTCTCTGGTCTCGCAGGGTTTAAAGCCCAGCAGCCAGGCCAGCGCGGTCCCTGATCCCAAGGAGTTGGGAGGAGGGAGAGGACCCGAGGGAACGCAGCTCCCCCCAGATAAGTCAGCTGTAAAATGTGTAGTTTGAGGCAAGAGGATAGCAAGTTCAAGAGTAGCCTGGGCAATTTAGCGACTCTGCAAGACCTTGTCTCAAAATATTTAAAAAATTTCAAAAGGGCTGGGGATATAGCTCAGTGCAAAGGGCCTGGGTTCAACCCGCTAAATAAGTAAATTGCAGTTTTTCAGGAGTCTTCGGCGATGGGGAGTAGGGGAGAATCTTCCCGCCCGAAGTCTCCTCCTGAGCCCAAAGGTGAAAAATGCAGACCTCCTGCGGGCGAGGCTCCCCTTCCCGGACACGAACTCCGAACCCAGGGCCCTCACCTCCCCTGTCGGCCTCGAACCCCGGCGCTCCGGGGGTCCCCAGCCTCGAGGCCCGGACGCCAGCGCCCGGACGGCCCCGGCCCCCCGCCTCCCTCCCGCCCAGCCCCGCTTACGCGGTAGGTGCTCTCCGTGAGCCGATTCACCTCCTCCGGGCCCCGCGACATGGCTGCAGCGCCGGGCAGGCGGCCGGGCGCGCGGGGCCTCGTGGCTGCCGACCGGGCCAGGGAGCGCCGGGGCGCGGCCGAGGAGGGGCCCTCGAGGGGCAGCCGTCGGCCCCAGAGAGCTCGCGCGCGTCACAGCTGCCAAAACGCCCAAACTCGCCCGCGCCGCCGCCCGCGAGGAGCAGAGGAGCAGCGGACGCCGCAGGGCGACCGGGACGGGCGGGCCCTACCTGAGGCCGGCGGCGGGGAGGGCGGGGCCGCCCCACCTGGGGCGGCGGGGTGGGCGGAGCCGACACCCGCACGGGCGGGGCCATGACCGGAGGAGGCGGCCAGAGTGGCGGGGAATGGGCCTAATGGGCGGGGCCTAACGGCTGTATGGGTGGGGCTGGAGCCAAGCGGGGCGGTCCCTCCTGGGGCGGCCAGGTTGGGCGGGGCCATCCACCTGAGGCGGGCGGGGCGGCCACAGAGCGCCCTCTAGCGGACCGACCGCACAGCGCGCCGGGCGCCGCCCGGACCCAAACCCGCCCCTGGAGTGCTAGTCCTTGTGCTTCCGGCGCCAGGAGGGCTCTGGAAGTCCTAACCCACGCTCTTCGGGCGTTTTCCCCAAGCCCTGCCTCTCGGCAGCCACACCAAGGAGCGTTCACAGCTGTTCGATGTATTCATTTCCCTGATTGACCCCTCCCGCCCACCACCTCGCTGATCCCGTAGGTCTTGGGGCCCCCGCGGCCCCCGTGGCAATTTAGAGAGGAACCATGGCAGCCACCTGCAGTTTTGGAAGCTCCGGGTAATCAAGAAAGTAATAAACAGGGCCGGGGATTTAGCTCAGTGGTTTCGCTGCCTGCTGCGCAAGCGCAAGGACCCGAGTTCGATCCCCGGTTCCAAAAAAAAAAGAAAGAAAGAAAGACACAGCAAAGAAAGTAATAAATGCCAAGGTCTGGTTACTGAAATTTCAGTACGTTCTTAACCTTTACATTAAGCACGACCTTAACTCAATGATGTATACCTGTGCTAATCGCAAATCCTTGTAGGATTTAGAAAGCTGTAGTGAGCCAGGAGTGGCGGCGCGCACTTATAATCCCAGCGCTGTGGGTGGCTGAGGCAGGAGGATTGTAAGTCAGATCTTAGCCTGGGCAATTTAGCGGACTTGGTGAGACCCCCCCCCCGATATATTTTGAGACAGGGTCTAGGTAGTTCAGGATGGCCTTGAACTCACTGTGTAGCCCAGGCCGGTCTGGAACTCTCAGAGATCCTCCTGCCTCAGCCTCCCAAGTGCTGGGACTACTGGCGTGCACTGTCACTCCTGGCTCTCCAAAAAAAAAAATGCGTGTGTGTGTCTTTTTGGTACCGGGGATCGAACTCAGGTCCTTGAGCTTGTGCAGCAGGCGGCGAAACCACTGAGCTAAATCCCCGGCCCCAAAAAATATTTTCAAAAGGGTTGTGGATGTAGCTCAATCCCCAGTACTGAGAGGAGGAAAAAAAAAAAAACAAGCTATGGCGAGCTGAGGTGTTAGGGAAATCTCTCTTCCTTTCACCTGGCAGTCCTCACAGGTGTGAAGCTCCTCGGTCTACACCCTAGTGCAGCCCTGCCCAGCCGTGAGGCAGATGTCACCTCTGTCCCTCCCATTCAGAGTGTACACCTAGGGCTGGGAGGGACCCAGAACAGCCTTCCTCTATCTGGAACTTCCATTAGCATCTGAGACTTCTACCCGCTCGCAAGGGTGAAGGGTCTTATTCTGACTTTTGAGAACTTCTAACTAGGCACAGTTGCATACAATTGCATCATTTACAGTAGTTAGGATATGAGACTTCTAAACTGCTCCCGGGATAAAGTTCCCTAGGAAATGCACACAAAGAAGGCACTGTATGGCCCAGCTGGGAACGCCTAAAGTCTGAGATGCTTCTGGACTTAGACACAACCAGTTGGACTCTGGTGCAGTCTTATCGGGTTTTGCAAGCCATAAAACATATCACGTTTGGGAATCGAACCGTGATGTGTTCTTGGATGTTGGGGAAAATAAACTACCAGCCCTAAGTTTCAGCCAGTAGAAGCAGCTACCTTCTTCCCTAACAGATTTCCAGTATTTGGCTCTTACGATGTGACAACTGGGTTTTATTTGCCACATGTGGGACTCATGCATGACTTTATAATTACTGTCATTACATATTGGGCTTTACGTGTGTGTCTCTTGGTTTTTATTTAAATTTGAGAGTCACAGCCTTCGCTTTGCAAATCACCTTTGGTCTTAGAACTTCCCTTCCCTTTTGTCTTAGAACAGTCTTCTGATGAATGAGGTCATTTCACCCTTTGCTGCCAGGCAGTCCTCCGAGGGCAGTGTGGCTCAGAGCCAGAGAACATGGACTGATGGATACCGTAAAGCCAGTGGATGTCTCAGGTGCCTCAGTTTGATTGCTGAGGGTGGAATCCGATCAAAGGACCAGGCTCGTAATTGTATGCAAATCTTCTTGGTCATCTATACCTCTCCTTTATGGAAATCACTTCCTAGTTATGATCATCATGCAGCTTTAAAAGCCTTTGAGAATCATTGGTTCTTAATCTGTGCTGGCATTAAGTAAATTAACTGCATCTAGCTCCTAACTCAGAGGTGCCTGGGACGTCTTTGTTGAACAAAAGAACAAGTAAACAGTTCGTTTGCTCTGTGCCAGGTGTTCTGTTAGGACTCTTGGGCTCAGAGTGAGCAGGGCCTGACTCACCCTTTAGTGCACATGCAGAATTTAAGGAGAATGGAGATGAAAGTGGGAATGGAAGGACAGTCAGTCATGCCAGAGGTAAAACAGTGGGAGGTCGCACACTCGAGAGCCCATTTGTATTATGTTTGTTGATATTTGCAAACTTGAGAGCCCATGGGCTTAGTTTCCTTGGACTTTACTGTGCCCAGAGCCAAGGAAAGTGAATCAATCGGAGACAGTGAGTCAGGGAAGGTGGGGGTCAGCCACCATTGCATTGCCCAAGAGCTCAGCACTTGCTAGGAAAAAGCCCTGCGGCCACTGGAAGAACAGGTGGCTTCTAACTAAGCTGGACACCTTCCCAAGGGCAGGAAGCCACTGCCACTGCCTCCTTTATTTTTAAGCTCCTCCCTCAGTTGAAATAACCAAGCACAGTATCCTGGTTATGTTAACATGGATTGTAAGGCGCAGTTGTAAGTGACAATGTCAATAAGCTCTAGTTTGGGGGTTTATGAAAAGTTCTGAATTTACTGGGCAGCTGCTGAGGATCCCTCCACCTCCATGTGGACTCTTGGTTATGCTGAGAATACCACCAGGTTTTGTGACAAAAGAGGTCCCGGCTGAGAATAGCTGGTGTGTGTGTGTATGTGTGTGTGTGTGTTCCCATAAAAATTTCAGGAAAAAGGTGGAGCTTAAAATTTTCTTATTCTGCTGGCCATGGTGGCGCATGCCCACAATCCCAGCACTCAGGAGGTTGAGGGAGGAGGATGGCTTGGGAGTTTGAGGCCAGCCTGAGCTACATAACAAGACCTTGTCTCAAAAAAATCCAAAACAAGCAAATAAATAAATTTAAGTTTTCTTATTCTGGCCAAGCACAGATGTCTGTAATTCCAGCACTTTAAGAGGCTGAAGCAGGTGAATCCCAAGTTCCAGCCCAGCCTGGGCAACTCAGTGACTTAGTAAGATCTTGTCTAACTAAAAAAAAAAAAATTTTTAAAGGACTGGGGATATAGCTTATGTGAAGGCTCTATGGGGAATCTCCAGTACTGAAAAAATTTTTCCTTATTCTGGAAAAGCCATTGGAAATGGCTATGTGCAAGCTTATTTCTGCTATAGGTTCTTCTTAGCCTGAAATGTTCTCTCCCCTGCCTCACAGCACTTGCCTGTCATTTAGATTTCAGCCTCGATGTGTCTCACACAGGCCTTCCTTTATCACAGCCTGTAGGGTTTCAGGAGTGACGTTTCTCCATCCAAGCATTCTCTGTTCATTGCAAGGGTGTTCATGCCAGCTGTGGTAGCTGGGTAATGGCTCCCCAAAATGTCCCTGTCCTAAGCCTCAGAACCTGTAAGTGTCACCTCATAACGTTTGCAGAGGATCTGTGCAGAAGTGATGAGTCCAGGATTTTGAGAGAGGGGATGATCCGGAGTACCTGGTGGGATTGATCTAATCACAAAGGGCCTTCTAAGGAGGACCCAGGAAGACCCAAAGGAGAAGCTGAAATGACAGCAGAAGCTATGACAGAAGTGATGCCTTTTGATGGCAGAGGAAGGGGCCACAAGCCACAGATACACTCGACGACAGCTACAAGAAGCTGGTAAAGGCGGGGAATAGACTCTCTCCTCAGAGCTTCTGGAAGAATCGGCTCTGCTGCTGTCACGATTAGAGCCTGAAAGACTCATTTATGTCCTCTGACTCAGACCTTCACGAGAATACGTGTGTGTTTTTAAACCACTCAATTTGTGGTGATTTGTTACAGAAGCAACAAGAAATTAATACAGTCATCCTTCAGTGTAGGTGGGGAATTGGGTCCTGGACCCCTCTCTGACACCAAACCCCACAGATTCGCAAGGCCCTTCTATGAAATGTGACCTACACATGTCCTCCTATATACTGTAAACTATCTCCAGGAGATTTATAATACTACAGTGTAAATGCCAAGTATCTAGTTGTTATACTCTATTGATTAGGGAATAATGAGAAAAGAGCCTGTGTATATTCAGCACAGACACAAATTTTTAAAAACATATTTTTGATCTGTGGTTGGTTGAATCCACACACAGGGAACCTGCAGATATGGAGAGCCAACTGTATACTATCTAACCTTTTTCTTGTTCATTGCTTTTTTATTTACTGTTTTTACTAATTGTTTGTGGTACTAGGGACAGAACCCAGGTTTCACATTAAACTGCATCCCCCTTTAAACATTTGTTACTTGTGACATAGGTTCTTACTAAGTCACTAAGTAGCCTAGGCTGGGCTGGAAATTGTGATCCTCCTGCCTCAGCCTCTCAGAGTGCTGAGATTACAAGTGTGCACCACCAGGCTCAGCATTGCTTTTTCTTTCCCTTCACCTTCACCCCACCATTGGACCATTTCTGTCTTGTCTTGCAGATTGCCCTGAGCCTAGCACATGGTAAGTGCTCAGCAACTGTTGAAAGATTTCCCTGCAGCCTGGGTGGTAAATTATTCCTCCAAGCGAGTTTTGTACTTGCTCCTGCCAGGCACTCCAAGGAGCTTGCTGCGGTATGGTATAAAGCTCAGACTCGGCCCCTGCTTGGTGTCACAGGCTCACTGAATTGTCCTGTCTGCCAGAAACCTGAAAGGGCCTTGTTGTTTCCCTGTGAGACTGCAGCGGTGAGTACAGGACAGGAGGCCATGGTGGGGTTTCAATTTGCCTCTGTGGCTGTGTAGATCAGGCAGGCCTTTCTGCCTGTTGGCTGTGGTTCTTCACCCCGAGTAGGGTAGTTAGTCTTCAAGTTACATTTAGTCCCGATCTCTCCCCATTCTGGCTTTCTCCCCCCATTCCCTCCCCACCCTAACTTCCATGCACAGCTCTGATTGTTACCTCTGTCTCTCGGGGTGCAGGTTGGCCCAGTGGGGAGAGGCTCTCTGCCCAAGGCCAAGATAACCTGAACATTCTTTCCTTTTTGCAGGGCAGAAGCAGAGAGACGCTGGTCTGGTGTCCTGAAAAGCTCTCAGTGATTTGGCTTGGTACAGAAACGTCCTGGCCGGATTTGTGGAAGTTGATCTGCCTGCTCTGTCTTTATTTGTTTCGTCTTGATTTTTCCCCTCCAATGGGAAAATGTGAGCAGAGAAAGTCCTAGACTTTCCTTTTCCGAGCAAATTTATTTTCTGTGTTTAGCAAACTCCAAGTATTGATCACTCTTACATATGTCTTTTCAGGAGGACTTAAATCTTTGTGTGTGTGCAGTATTTTTCCTTGATAAACAAGCTCAATACATTCTGGAACCATTTTACCTTCTAATGGAACTCTTTCTGAAAGTGAAGACTTGGAAAATGATGCAGTGGACTACCTTTGCAGATATCTATTGAGCCAGATAAGTAATTCTCCATTTCCTTTCTTTTTTAAAAAAAAAATTTTATTTTATTGGTGTATTTTAGGTATACAATACAATGACATTCATCATTGGAAATTTGCACCATTACCTAATCTCTCTTAGTTCTTATTTTCCCCATTCCCCTGCCTTCCCTTCAACCCCTCCATTCCTCCCTATTTACAAAGATTTTGTTCCTAGTTTTCCATTTTCTCATATTAATCCCATTCCCTTCTCTCCTTTCCCCTACCCCTCCCACTTCCCCCTCCCCTTTGCCCCTTTTCTTCCTATTTCACATTATCTATTATACATTTAGTCCTTATTTACACTTTCAGTTTCTCACACCAGAGAAACTATTCGGTATTACACATCTGTGTCCTATTTATTTCACTTAAGAGAATGGCCTCAATATGCATCCATTTAGCTATAAATGTCTCTAATTTCTCATTTTTTATGGCTGAGTAGTACTTCATTTTATTTAAAAAACCACACCTTCTTTATCCAGTCTCCAGTTGATGGGCATTTGGGCTGTTTCCAAGCTTTAGCTGTTACAGGCTGTGCTGCTATGAACATGGGTGCACATATATCACTGTGGTATGATTCTTTTAATTCTTTGGGGAAGATCCCCAGCAAATTCTTTTTTTTGGTACCGGGGATCGAACTCAGGACCTTGCACTTGCAAGGCAGGCGTGGTGCCACTGAGCTAAATCCCCAGCCCCCTTCCTTGCTTTTTCTTTCCTTTTCTTTCTCTTCTTGTAGTTGTTGTTCTTCCTTCCTCCCTCCCTCCCTCCCTCTTCCTCCCTCCCTACCTCCCTCCCTCCCTCTCTCTCTCTCTGTCCCCACACATACACACTTTCCTTTCTTCCTCTCTCTCTTTCTTTCTGTTGTGGTATTGGGGATCTAGCCCAGGGCCTTTGCAATGAAATATAGCCCTGACCATTGATTGACTGAGACAGGGTCTTGATAAACTGCTCGGGTTGTGCTAGAACTTGCAGTCCTGCTGTCTCAGTGTCCCCTAGTGCTGGGGTTATAGGCATGCTGCACCATGCCCAACGTTGTCTTTCTTTTGAGACCGTCTCCCTATGGCACCCGGGCTGGCTTCAAACGCCTGGCCTCAAGTGATCCTCCCTGTTCAGCCTCCCAAGCGCTTACTGATTATTTCTTTCCACATGGTACTGCGCCCACATTATTCATGATTTCTTTCCATACAACCATGATTACAGCAGAGCAGCCAGAATGCAGACACCTGGATTGCTAGGCAGGTCTCCAATGTGAATGCCCAGAGACAGAATGTAGAGGAACATTCTTTTCCACTAAGATGATTTATCTTTTTTCTTTTCCAGTGCTGGAAAAGGATCAGAGAGGGCAGGATCAGCGACACAAGGATATCTCCAGTGGTCTTTTTTGTCCGTGTTTGTGTTCACGTCCCAGGTGCCACTTTACCACCAGCCTCACCCACACTGAGCCCTGGCATTCCTACCAAATTCATCTCCAGAGCAGCTCAGGTGTTCTCTGACCTTTTGCTCGAAACCTCAATGCTCACTGTAAATTTCTGCAGATCTAGGAGTGCAATAAACGATGAGAGAATTTAACCGGTTTTTGCTAAAAGAGAACTTATCGGGCCCATGGATTTTGAAATTCAGCATAAAGTGAAATTTCCCATCACAGTAAATGCATACAATTATAAATAATTAAGCCAAACTCTGAGTAGTAATTTATGTGTTTCTTTAAAAATGTCCCTAATATATTGACATTGACCATGGAGTGCAAGAATTCTTAACAATCAATGGGAATTCTGCTGAGCATGAACACCAGACCGCGACAGTCAATGTCCCATCAGTATCTGATCACCATAAAAGTTTTAGCAGGAGTTTGGCTCTGAGGTCAGGAAGTACTGTGGGCCCAGAAATGAGAGTAATAAATTCACGATGGAAAGAACTTCACTCTTCCTACTCATCACTAAGACAAACTCGCTAGTTAAAAAGCTGCACTCCATGCATTATTTGTTGTCTTTAGGGATATTTAAAGTCCACAGCTGCAGAGGCATCAGTAAAACCATAAGCAGACAAACAAGGGTGGATGCTCAATGCTCGTTTTCTGCCACAGGGGCTGGTGAGCTTCAAAAAAAAAAAGATTTTCAGCTGGGCATGGTGGTCCATGCCTGTCATCCCAGCACTCTGGGAGGCTGAGGCAGGTGGATCACAAATTCAAGCCCAGCTTGGGCAACTCAAGGACTTCTCGAGAACTTGCCTCAAAAAGGTTGGGGGTGGGGGCACGGTGATGTGGCTCAGTGCAAAGATCCTGGGTTCAATCCCCAGTACCAAAAAGATTTTCTGGCCTGCTTACAGTTAAGAGTGCAAAAAATAGACACAGCCTGGCCAAAGAGTCAGAGTAAACAAGCCTGCTTTCTGGGCCTTCCTAGAAAGCAGATGTGATCATGTGAGAAGTGGCCACTGCCTACAAGCCTGAAGCAGAGTGGGGCTAAGCGTGGCAAGTGCAGACTGGCAGAGTGCAGACAGAGCCCAAGCCTCCTGCGGCCTCAGCGGGTTCCCTGCCTTCTCCTCTTGACAGCTAATGTGCTCCTAAGTGACATATTTTGTTGCTCCTGTGGGGAACTGGTTCCAGGACTCTCGTAAATACCAAAATCTGCATAAGCTTTAGTCCTAGTTATATAAAATGGAGTAATATTTGCATAGAACCTATGCACACCCTCCTCATCCTTTATATTTTTTTAACTGGGAATTGAATCCTAGGGCTTTGAACTGAGCTACATCCCCAGCTGTTTTTAAAATTTTTTGCATTTTGAGACAGGACCTTGCTAAGTCACTAGGTTGCTCAGACTGGGCAAGAACTTGTGACCCGACCCTCTGGCCTCAGCCTCCCCGTCCGCTGGGGTTACAGACAGACACCACCATGGCCCACCCTCCTCTTACTTTAAATCATCTTTTGAAGGTTTGTAATCCCTAGTGCAATGTAAAAGCTGAGTAAATAGTTGTTCTACTGGACTGTTCAGGGTATAAAGACAGGGAAAAGGTGTGAGCCTGTTCAGTGCAGACACAGTTTTTTCTTGGAATATTTTCAATTCATGGTTTTGTGAATCCAAGGAGGAAGAACCTGAGAACTCAGAAGGTCAACTGTGTTGCCCTTAAAATGTAGGAGAATTTGAGATTTTGTTGAATTTAACACAAATGAACATTGTGAATCATTAAGCAAAAATCCAAATGGTAAGAAAGAGTTTCTTGAAAACTTTTCATATATTTAATTTTTCATTTTGGGGATGATGATATTTTAGAATTAAAACAGAAGATCCCCTGGGCATAGTGGTGCACCCCTGTAATTCCAGCACTCAGGAGGCTAAGGTGGGAAGATCTTGAGTGTGAGATCATCCTGGGCTACATGGTGAGACCTTGTCTTAAAAACAACATTGTCATCATCAACAACAACAAACCCCCCCCAAAGCACAAAAGAACCACGAACAACCAAATTTGAACATGATTATAGAAATCAAAAGGGGGAAATATTAAAATGTGACTGTCTTGAAAATCCCCTATTGTCTGAATTTATATCCTCAGGCTACCCTCCAAAGTACTTGCATTCTACTTTAATTGGAGAGCATCATTTTATACCCACATTTCCAAGAAATAAATTGGCAAGTCATTTTTTTCAAAGTTAGCAAATAAAACACTTGTAAAAATAAATCATCCACATTACTTTTGAGTCAGCCATTGTTCCTGCTGATTTTCCCACAAAATAGCAACGATTAAAAAAAATAGCAACAATACACACAACACAGTGATGCATACCTGCAATTCAAGCAGTCTGGGGAGGCTGAGGCAGGAGGATCATAAGCTCCACCCCAACCTGAGCAACTTAGTGAGACCCTGTCTCAAAATGAAAAATAATAAGGGCTGGAAGTGTAGCTCAGTGCAGAGGCCCTGGGTTCAATCCCCAGTAACATACACATGGCCTACCATGCCCAAACAGGGAGGCAGTCATGTGCTGTTAATAGCTAGGATGATGACACATCTCTGGACTCTGAAATGAATTCATAATTCTTAGATTTCCCTTAGAGCAACACAGAAATGAGTTTGGCTATTTCCTTGTGGCACGAAACATCATTCAGGACTCTTAGGTCTTGAAACGCTGGGATATTTGATACTAACTGAGCAAAATACCGGGGTGTCCTGCAGTTCCCCCACCTGGATGGAGTGAGCAGTGTGCCTGCTTGCAGACCCCAGGGTCTGGATTCTTCCTCCTTGTGGGCCTGGCACTGGGCCCGTGGGGCAGCACACACAGCCTGTGTGGCCCTCAGCCTGGCATCAGTCTGACATGGGCTACAACTTTCCCCCAACCAGAGTAGCTGTGGACAGCCAGGACCTGTTCTATTTCGAACCTGGTGACACTGCAGTGGATTAAGGTCCCGGGTGTGTGTGTGTGTGTGTGTGCTGGGCGTGTGGGAGGACAGGAAGTCTGGCCGGTTCCGCTCTCTGGCTCCCTAGCAGTGGGTGGGGTGGAGCTCCTGATGACCCCTAGGAGTGGTTCGAGGTCACATGGGCCCTAAAAAGTGCCCGGAGAGGTGACTGGGGCTCCAGGCCACTGGGTGTGACCCTCAGAATAAGCAGGATAAGCGGACAGTCACCCCTGCCCCTGGGGGTGCTGAGGGCAGATCTCAGGTCCTGTAGCTGCTCTCCTGCTTGGGTCCCCGCCAGGTCCCTTGATCAACAGTGGTCATCACCATATCTCCCGGCCTGCTTGTGACCTCTTCCTTCAGGCTCCAGGGCCCAGGAGGCGAGGTCATGAGTCACAGGTTGAGCAACTGGCGAACAGGTGCGTTTCAAGCTGAGTTTTTATTCTTTTCACTGGAGTGAGTATTCCTGGTTAGTTACTGACAGGAGAGGTCAGGAGCTCCTGAAGGGCTGGGTGACTGGTGACGGAGAGAAACTGCCCTCAGGCCACCAAAGACTGCTAGGTCACCATTGGGGCGGGCGGGGGGCTGCTTTGTTAGAAGTCAGGGATGTGCTGCGGGTGGTCTGCGCTTGCTCACCCCTGCCTCCGCCTCTGGAAGGCACTGTGCCTGGCCTGACCTCGCCACCTCTGTCTCCTGACAGTACATGTACCCTCCTGTCCTTTGCTTGTGGCACGTGCTCAGCAAGACATTTTCCTACGTTGAGTCTTTTTGTTCCTTGCTTGCAAAATGGGACCGAGCTACTGTGAGCGTTACCCACACGGCAGTGAGAGGCAGCTGCCGGGTGCCCAGCAATGCTGGGAGGCACTAAGGCACCCCCTCCCCTCAGCCCTTGGATTAGCTGCTGCATCTGGGATTTCCCACCAGCTTAGTTCTCCAAGGACATCGGCACCTCGGAGTGACATTCTTGTCCGTTCTGGTGGCTCCAGTCATGAGTCACCTTGACCAGTCACACTGATCAGGAAGCTGGGGGAGGATGTGACGTTATCAGCAAATACAGCCTGTCATAGATTTGGGGACAGCTGTTTGCCTTGGAAGTGAACGCCACTGCCCCGGCTGGGTGTTCACCTGCAGGGTGAAGGATAGCAGGTACCAGGTGTTAATTAACTTGGTGTGATGACATCTGTGAAGGGGCCAGGGGCTCTCAGGGTGGGAAAAGTCCTCAGGGCCAGCCTGCGGGCTGCCACAGGAGCTGTGGGGGAAGGCCCTTGGCTGCCTGAACGACAGGACACACAGCAACCGCTGTTACTGCTGGCTCGCTGACCATCTTGGGATATGCTTCACCCCTCCTGGGTCACTGTCTCTCAGAGTCCAAAGAGACAATCTGCCTTTTGTCCTTATACGAGGTATGATTGACATATGTGCTGAATGTTTAAATTTAAAAATGCATTACAGTAAAAGACATATTGGCATTGGTCTCCCTCAAAAATACTCTCCCTCACTTCAAACAGACTCATCCCACTGTTCTTGCCAATTTCTTTTCTTTTCTTTGAGAAAGGGTCTCACTAGGTAGCCCAGGCTGGCCTTGGCTCACAGCAATCCTCCTGCCTCAGCCTCCTGAGTGCTGGGATTACAGGCATGTGCCACCACGCCTGGTTTTTCTTGTCAATTTCTGAAGCAGTTCTGAAAGTCCTCTTTCCTGAGTTTCTTTAGTTGTACTGTCCTGGCTGCCTCAATGTGCTGAACTGATTCAAAACGTTTCCCTTCCATGGTCATTTTGACTTTGGGGAAGAGCCAGAACTCACAGGGTGCCAGATGCAGTGAACAAGGTGGATGAAGATGCACCATCCTGTTTTTATGACCCTGTATTTCCATTGGATGGCGCTCGGTGGCAGCATTCACTGATTTTTTTTATCACACCTTGTAAAAACACTCAGGAAAGAGGACTCCAGAGCTGCTGCAGAACGTGGCCAGAGTGATGGGTAAGTGTATCTGAACCAAGGGGGAGGATTTGAGGGGATTCATAGCAACGTGTCTTTTACTGTCGTAAATTTTTTTTGTTTTTCTTTTATTTTTTTGCATGTGTGTGCAATTTTATTTTTTTTTCACATCTAAAGGTTTATTTACTTGACAAAAATACAAAGGGATATATAATAAAGAATGGAAGAGAACCCTGGTTAGTGAAGT